TCTTGTTTCGCGCTTTGTGCCCCTGAGAGATGAGAAAGGTTAGAAGGGAAAAGAGTCCAGCGTACGTGACGAGGAGCCGAGTGCGTCAATACACGAATCCGCCAAGGGCCTTCTGGGTATCTGAGGGACACTAAAGGAACAGTGTGTGATATTTAAGTGGATTATTTACTACAGCGATGGAATCTACAGGAGCCCAGAGCGGACAATAAAGATGTGTAACAGAGGACAAGTAGTCTGTAAGTTCTCACACGTGTCTCACGTAACGTCCTCCTTCCTACGTCTCCAGGTCGATAAGGATTTCATTCCCGGCTTGATGTACATCCGGGACAACGAGGCCCCGGCCGAGGAGTTCGAGGCCATGACCCTCCCCTTCACGGTGCCCAACGCCAGCGGGCAGGACATCCAGCTCAGCTCCAAGTACTCCCACATCACGCTGGAGAACCGCGCCGAATACGTCCGCCTGGCTATTAACTACAGGTGAGAGTCACGAGGCCCCTCCCCCCTCCCTCCCCCCCACGGTCTGTGTCCCAATGCCTGAACTTCCCGTCGGTTTCCCCCTCCAGGCTCCATGAGTTTGACGAGCAGGTGTCGGCGGTCCGCGAGGGGATGGCCCGCGTGGTTCCCGTCCCCCTGTTGTCTCTGTTCACCGGATACGAACTGGAGACCATGGTCAGTGAGAGCAAGTTGTGCGGTGGTGGTTCTGCCCCCCTGCTGTGTCCTGTTTTTTTTTTTTTTTTTTTTTTTACACAGAGACTCTAACCCCTCCCCCCTCTCCCTCAGGTGTGTGGGAGCCCGGACATCCCGCTCCACCTGCTGAAGTCGGTGGCCACGTATAAAGGAGTGGAGCCCACGTCGTCGCTCATCCAGTGGTTCTGGGAGGTGATGGAGTCCTTCTCCAACACGGAGAGGTCCCTCTTCCTGAGGTTCGTCTGGGGGCGAACGCGTCTGCCGCGCACCATCGCCGACTTCCGGGGGCGGGACTTTGTTGTGCAGGTAAGAAGTTAGAAAGTCCTCATTGAAACTAGTGAGCCAGTGAACAGGAAGTGACCATATTTGGAATGTGGAGGAGTGATGTAGAGACCTGTCAATCAGCGTGTAGCCCCGCCCTAAAGCATCCTCTGCTTTATAGTCTGTTTGACTCTAAATGGACCATCATTTACTAAATGAACGTCATGATGTGTTGAAGACTTGAAACTAGAGACTGAGACCATAAACTCATGTTTACAATGTTTACTGAGGGAATAAATAAAGAGAAGTAGAGTAATTTTCTCATAGACGTCTATGGGAGCAGAGGAGTCGCCCCCTGCTGGTCACTGCACAGAATGCAGCTTTAATAGAGAAGCTTTGACGTCACTTTTTTAAGAACCCACGGTTGCTGCCTGCTTTTTAAGTTTGCCAACGTCTCACATGAACACATTGTTGAACCTTCAACGCCGTGTCTGAATCTAGAGCGCCGTCTCGTCTGTCCCCCTGCAGGTGCTGGATAAGTACAACCCCCCCGACCATTTCCTGCCGGAGTCCTACACCTGCTTCTTCCTGCTCAAGCTGCCCAGGTACTCGTGCAAACAGGTGCTGGAGGAGAAGCTCAAATACGCGATCCACTTCTGCAAGTCCATCGACACCGACGACTACGCCCGCATCGCGCTGTCCGGGGAGCCGGCCGCCGACGACAGCAGCGAGGACTCGGACAACGAAGACGCCGACTCCTTCGCCTCGGACTCCACCCAGGACTACCTGACGGGGCACTGAGGGCGATCATCTCACCCTGTTAACACACACACACACACACACACACACATTCATTCAAGACACCGGACGTCTGTGGGGGAAACGTGTGCACTGAGCTGCACGTGTAATCGATGTGTCACATGGGATTGTGTATATTGTTGCAGTTTAAATAAACCTTATAAGCACTGTGGTAGATCCCCTCCCTCTGGTATGTGTACAACAGGACCGTAGAATCACACTTGTTTCTGTCCACAAACACGTTTTTAACTTAACGTCTGAAGCCCCCCCCCCCCCCCCCCCCCACAGTGTCCCTAAAGAATGTACATAATATGATCGTGCCATGTATTCACAGAAGGTCTCATTCCTGCTTTTCAATGTTAATACATTTCTGTTAATAAATTCAAGTGCAAAAAGGAGTCTTGGCGTCGGGGGGGGGGGGGGCGGGACAGGAAGTGACCGAGTCGGGACATTTCCTTGCTGTTACTCATCGGCTGGCGTCTGCGTGATGCACGGCGGCTTCTCAGGCGACGCGTCCTCTGGAGGGAACGGCGGCGAGTACAAACCGTACGAGGGTCAAAAGACGAGCTCGTTGTTTCCTTTTCGCCGATAACGATCCGTTTCGTTTCGCTTCCCTCGGGGGGTCTCCAGTGTGTGACGTCGCTGCTGATGAAAGAGATTCCTGTGATTCCTCCCAGTGTCACATTCCTCCGTGTGTACACGCACGCACGCACACACACACACACACACACACACCATTACACACATTAATACGCACCGTCAAACAGTTTAAGCGTCTTAAACCTCGAGGTGGCAGGTTTCAGGGGGTTGATACTAATAACTATTATCTAAACTGATGTTGGAGCCGCTTTGTTGTGTAAAAGTTTTATGGATTTGGTTCCGTGACGACGAGCATTATTTTTTTGTTTGTTTCTTTTTAAAATTAATTCATGATGAATCTGGTTTCATTTTATAGAAACTGTCAGTTTCAGTAGGTTGAGTATATTTAAATGAAATATATTCTATGCTTTGACGTATAAGCAAACGTGCAGATTACAATGGTTTTTATAGCTTAATAGAGCAGGTTCAGGAATATGATCTCATACATTTACTAAACATTTAAAATCCATCCAAAGTGACTCCATATGAAAGCAACTCGAGTATTGTTTCAATAACATAAATATCATTTAGTATTGTAGAAAAGTACAGAGTTAGAACACTTCATCATTTGACATGGAAGTGTCATGATTAAAGCATTAAAAATGGACAAACATTAACGAGTTAATATGCAGACTTTATGTAAATGTACCTGAAATAACCGTGTTTTACTGGACTGACATTCAAAACTCCTTTATGTACCTTTTATTTCTGCCCTTATTATCAGTGTTAGTGAGATGTTTAACACGTCAGTGCAGACGACTCAGTCCACCGAGCGGAGTATGTGTGTGAGTGTGAGTGAGTGTCTGAGCGTGCGTGTACGTGTGTGTGTGTGTGTGTGTGTGTGTGTGTGTGTGAGTGTCTGTGTGAGTGTGTGTGTGTGTGTGTGTGTGTGAGTGTCTGTCTGTCTGTCTGTGAGAGCGTGTGTGTGTGTGTCTGTGTGAGTGTGTGTGTGTGTGTACGTGTCTGTGAGTGTAGGTGTGTCAGTGTGTGTGTGTACGTGTGTGTGTGTGAGTGTGTGTGTGTGTGTGAGTGTCTGTGTGAGTGTGTGTGTGTGTGTGTGTGTGAGTGTCTGTCTGTCTGTGAGAGTGTGTGTGTGAGCGTGTGTGTGTGTGTGTCTGTGTGAGTGTGTGTGTGTGTGTACGTGTCTGTGAGTGTAGGTGTGTCAGTGTGCGTGTGTCTGAGTGTGTGTGTATGTGTATGTGAGTGTAGGTGTGTGTGTCCTGTCTGTGTGAGTGTGTGTCTGAGCGTGTGAGTATGTGTCTGTGAGTGTGTCTGTGTGTGTGTGTGTGTGTGTCTGTCTGTGAGTGTGTGTGTGTGTCTGTGTGTGTGTCTGAGCGTGTGTGTGTGTGTCTGTGAGTGTGTGTGTGTGTCTGTGTGTGTGTGTGTGTGTGTGTCTGTGAGTGTGTGTGTGTGTGTGTGTGTGTGTGTGTGTCTGTGTGTGTGTCTGAGCGTGTGTGTGTGTGTCTGTGAGTGTGTGTGTGTGTCTGTGTGTGTGTGTGTGTGTGTGTGTCTGTGAGTGTGTGTGTGTGTGTGTGTGTGTGTGTGTCTCTCAGCAGCATGTGACTGCATGAGGCATGAAGACAAAGGAGCGTGATGCTCCTGCGTCGGCTTTGAACTTTGAGGAAAAAAAGCAGCTTCTTGTTTCTGGGAAGTCACTCCTGACTCCGCCCACTGCGCCGAGCCGCCTCAGCGCTTTATTCTATAAGATGCTCGCTAAATAAAACTCAGCAGCTGACGGTCAAACTGCTTGATGTTCGCTCCAGTTCTCCCCGTCGCTCATCTTCAAAAGGCCGCTTGGCCGTAGATGGACGTCACCTGACCTCCTGAGGTGCGCTGAGGTCGATGACGGCGAGGTCACGTGACCCCCTCAGAGAGGAACTCATTCATGCGGGAGTCGAGTGTCCCGCGGCTCGCTCTCCTCTCGTCCTGCATGTGATCGTCAGCCCACCAGACCCAGTGTGCCGTCTCCCCCCCCTGGACATCCTCTCCTCGCTCAGGCGTCAGGACAGACCAGGTGACCCCCCCCCCCCCCCCCCCTCTAACCCCCCTCAATAGGAAGCATTGTCCTCCCTCGGTGGGACTCAGATGGGACAGAGATCCATTTTTTATCTTTAAGGAATTCATTTAGCATCCAGTTCAGTGAACGGGGGCCGAGGGTTCAGTAGTGGGGGGGTTATAATCACCCCCCCCCCCCCCCCCCCCTCATGCAACCCCATTAAAGATGCACTCCTGACACAGCAGCCCCCCAATGCCCGTTCTCTGCTGTTATAGGAGTATAAAAGCTTGTGTGAGAAAAGCAGTGTGCAAACATAAAGCTGCTGGAGCACTTGGGGGGGGCGTGTTTGACCCCCCTGACCTTTCCTACACCCTAATCTGGGGAGTGGAGCGATATTTTTCTCCATGGTTTTTATTTCTAAAATCTTCCTCGTCTCTAATCGACCCAGAAAAAACAGCTGATAATTCATTAAAATCACAACGTCCAGATCAGCATGAAAAGCATTAGATGAGTGTGTGTGTGTGTGTGTGTGTGTGTGTGTGTGTATGTGTGTGTGTGTGTGTTGAGGGGGGGGGGGGGTTGAATGGGTAAGTTGTTCTGCTGTTAGGGCCCCTCCTCCTCTCCCCTCAGACTGCTCGCCTCCTCGCACCGGGGACGACGAAGAGGAGAAGCATCACCTCGTCTTCCTCACAGTGCAGCATCAGCAGCAGGATTCTCCGCCTGCTTTCTGGGGTTTTTTGGTGTGATTTTGACTGTTGGATGTTTATTGTTTGAATTCACAAACTCATCATCATCATCATCATCATCATCACTGTCCTCCTCTTCCCGTTTATCATCATCAAACTTTAAAGGTGAGTTTGTTCACTTACGCCTGCGTCTCTTTCTCCTCCACTCGCCAAAATAAAGGTTTTGAATTTGATGTTTTGAAGTCAGCAGCTTCACATTCCTGCTCCGTCACACCGGTGGGCTTTGTTTTAGGCTTTTTAGGAATTAAGCCCAAACGTGGCTGCACATTAGAGAGCTTAAGCCCACTAAGACGGTAAATGAACTGGTATTCCAACTATTCATGCTCAGAATCATTATTCTGATTTACAGAATGATACATAAGGGTTACGCGTAAAAAGGCCTTTAAATGGGTAAAACAATACAAAATAAATTACAGGGAGACTTTATAGCTGTAAAAAACTTAAACGACTTGCATCTCTTTTTTTATGTTTTTTTTTTTTACCTGTCACTCAAAATGAAAAGGACACATGAAATCTGCACTTTGTTTGTTGAAGGAAATGCGTCTCCAATCGATAACCGCTGTGAACGAATTAGGGAAGCAGTTTGTCTTCGTGGTCTCTCTGCAATCAAAAGGGCCGTTCTTCTGCCGCCTCGGGCGAGGACGTCACGCGTGACCGGCGACGGCGGACCCTTATTTTGAAAAAAAAACGGCGCACTTGTCATGAAAGAATTAAAAAATGCTCCGTCTGTGAATCAGAAAATCAGTTCCTGATAAGCTTTCATAACAACGGAGGATCACAGCGTCAGGAGAAGGATCAGGTACCTCCTCCCCTCGGGTCCAGAGTCTCGCTCCTCACGGAGGAATTACCCCCCGACGGCTCAAATGTCACGAGTTCCCGCCGCCTTTTCACGGGAGCAATAATCCCGCCGACTTTCCCGCCGCCTCTGTGCTGGCGAGGGCCGCGCGTCTGCCTCCGCTGACCTCATCCGCTGACCTCCTGCTGAGGAGGCGTTTACATCTAAAATGCTCCCTGTGGACGGACTTCACGGCCTCCTCCTTCCTCCGTCTCCCAGGGAGAAGGAGCTCAGTGGTGTCCTAACGTGACGACGCTCCCGAGGTTCTTCAGTCAGAGTTTTACTGCGGACGTTAAACCGTCTCATCTTCTCCAAAGACACATGACTCCATTCACCAACAGGTCTCTTTCACACCGCGGATGCTGCTTCCATCGGGCAGTTAGTTGTTATTGTGTGACGTTGTTGATGCGAATTGACTCGTAATCAAACCAGAGTCACGTGATAACACGAGCTATTAACTAGTAGAAGGAGTAGAACTAGTAGAAGGAGTAGAACTAGTAGAAGGAGTAGAACTAGTAGAAGGAGTAGAACTAGTAGAATGAGTAGCACTAGTAGAAGGAGCAGAACTAGTAGAAGGAGCAGAACTAGTAGAAGGAGTAGCACTAGTAGAAGGAGTAGAACTAGTAGAATGAGTAGCACTAGTAGAAGGAGCAGAACTAGTAGAAGGAGCAGCAGAGCAGCAGCCGAGTTCTAAAATCAATGTTTTTGTGAATGAAGTCTGGCGTCTTTGAAGGGAACGTTGACGGGAGCTTCTGTTGCCCCTTTAAGGCGGCAGTTTGCTAGTTAATGACTCATGTCACTGGATGAGGACTTAAAAGGGCATAAAAGTATTACTGCTATTATCAATATTACCGCATTACAAACGGGTCACATGACGCTGTCACAGACTCCGATCACCTGACTCCTTTTTAGTCCTGTTTAGTGTTTTAGCGGCGTTTGGCTCATTGCTCTGTTTTTCCAGCTGTAACGTGGATGTTTCCTTTGCGCTCATGGTTCTCGTAGCGTTGCTGAAGAGGCAGCTGGTGGAGACCAAAAACGGAGCAAAAAATCCAGAGAACATCACACAAAGTTTGCATGTTAAACTCGACCTGTTCTGAGATTTTACACTGGATAACCCCCCCCCTCTCCCTCCCCTCTCCTCCATCAGCCCCAGCATGTATCTGGAGAACCAAACGGAGATGGAGATGTCTCCGGCGTCGGCGCAGGGCCACCAGGGCCGGAGCTTCGGGGACCTTCGTCTGCTGCAGGGCATCTCGGAGAGGAGAGACGCTCAGAAGCCTGCGGGCTGCGTCATCCACGCCGAGGGCTTCGTCCCCGTCCGGCCGGACGACGGGTACGAGGCCTTTTCTTCATTATTATTGTTATTATTATTATTATTGTTATTATTATTATTTACCAGCGTTGTTGGTGGGAAAGCCGCCCGTTTGGATCCTAATTTCTGGAGTTGAAAGACGAGTCGCGAGTCAAACGTGGAAGAAACTAAACAAACAAGAGTTTATTTATTAATCAGTTATTAAAGACTACAACAGAACAACAGCAATAAATATCAGAATAAAAATACAAGCGGATACAAAAGTCCATCCTGACTTTTTATCCACACAGACTTTATTTATTATGCAGCACTTTATATGAAGCAGTTGATCCACATGTTTTGTGCATTTTCTTACAAAACGTGTCTCTTTTCTGCTCGTTTTATGAATTCAGTCTTTTAAAGTATAAACCGTTGAACCAGCAATCGTCTCTCTGAGGACATCGGACAGCAGACGAACAAAGCCGGAGGACAAAGTGCTAAAGACAAACTGAGCTAAAGGGAAACGCAAAGTAGATCTTTTTGCAAACAAGTTTCAACTTAGTTCTAAATGTTCTTCATGTGGGTGAACCGTGGTTCTCTGTTCTCCCCTCGCTGTCTCTTCTGTGTCTGAACCACATGTGCAGGTCAAAGCTTCCGGAGGGGGGGGGGGGGGGGCGCTAATCTTAAACCCGTGGGTTTGACGTTACTGGGATTAAATCAAGGGATTTTTTGCTTTGTGCGTTCAGTTTAAAGCTTCACGTGAAGAGCGTAGTACGGCTACACAACGTGTGCGTGTGTGATCCAACGTTTTCTCCTGCAGAGATTACAGGGAATTCTCTTTAATCTCTGAGGGACACTTTCAGCCCCCTGACTTTGTGTCGGGGGCCTGTGTGTGTCTGTGTGTGTGTGTGTGTGTGTCTGTGTGTGTGTGTCTGTCTGTGTGTTTCCCCCAACAATAACGACCATCACAAAACCAAGCGCCCAAAAGGCCTCTAACTCCCGCTGGTGTGAAGGAACTCACGAAGGCTCAGAGGCCGGGGGTCAAAGTTCAAAAGAACAGTTTTTTTAGAAAAGAGTTTCAACAAATTGCTGTTGTGTTTTTTATTTATTTGTCCCACAGTTTCAGCGTGGTGAATATTCTCAGAGGGAAATCCACCTCCGCCAACCTGACGGAGAAGTCGCCTCTGCTGAGATTCTCTCAAGACGACGGGTTTGTTTCTGTGGTGTTTTATTGATCTTCATTGATCCCCAAAGCAAATCTTGATTAACATGGAAACAATTCAAACAGGGTGTGTGTCTCCCCTGCTGGCATGACCTACATGACCTTACACGACCCCGGCTTCGTCGGCGGGGAGGAGCCTTGGCACGACGGGTCGCTGGACCTGGAGAGGAGGTACCGGCTGGGCAGCGAGGTCACCAGTCTGTCGGCGTCCCGGTCCGGCTCCTCGGAGAAGAGCGACCCGCTGGACGGCCTCAACCTCAGCCGCCGCTTCACCAGCAGCGTGAAGTGAGAGACGCACAGATGTGCTACAGATGTGTGCTGCAAACCACCAGTATGAATCAAAGCATCTTAATGCTGCTTTATTTCGTTCTACTTTATTTCTTTTCAGATGCTGCTTCAGAGTTTCCAAAATTGCCACAATGTTTACAATCGTCGTCCTCTGCAGCGTAAGTCCAAAAGAACTTTTTCTACAAAATACTCCCATTTATAAAAAACACCTAATAACAAAATACATGTCCACGTTGTGTTACTCCGTCATTCATGATAAAGTGTAACGTTTTGGTAACTGTGCTTATTGGATGTGTTTCAATCCCTCTGATTGGACCGTGTGTGTCCTGCTTGCAGCTCTTCTTCAGCATGTATCCAGACAGAGACAACCCCACCCGGCTGCTGGCCGTCTCCCCGGCAGACAGCTTCTGTATCCTTTCCTGAGGCTTCCAGCGTCGCCGTTTGCCTCTAACAAACAAGGGAGCATCGGATGGATCACTGAATGGGCCTGAATGGGGGCCTGAATGGGGGAGTGAATGGGGGCCTGAATGGGGGTCTGAATGGGGGTCTGAATGGGGGCCTGAATGGGGGTCTGCGGGTCTGACTAACTGGATGCTGTTGAAAGAAAGGCGTGAAATGATCACAAAGAGACATTCGATTAACACAAACACAAACAGAGCAAATTCAAACGACCCCAAAATGAAGACTCGGAGATGCAACGTGAATTCTAATCAATATAAAACGTCCACCAATGAGATGCAAGACTTCTATAAATACCTCGACTTAATTACAAAAGACCCAACGTGAAAGTGTCAATAGATGGAAAACAACCACAAAAAGATCCAAAACCTCAAAAGAGTAGAACTATGAGAATTGATCAAAATATGTTTGTTCGGAAAATGTCATTAAAAATAAGTAAAAGAAATACTAGATTGAAAAGTCTTAGTTGAAAGGTCGAAAGTCTTTTTAAAAAAAAAAGTCAAAACATGTTATGGACAGAAATACTAATGTTTTGAAAAAGACGTGATTTCAGACGTGATCTCGTCTTCGTTCACCACATCTGGAGTGAACATGTGTCGCGTCCTCTCACACACACACACGCGCTTTTCTCTTGACGCCGCGGCACCTCAGCGGTGAACCTGACGGACTTCAGAGACAACGCTCTGCTCAAGCTGCAGGTGGGCGGGCCCTTCGCCCGCGGCAAGGTGGACCTCCAAGACCAGGACTACATCCTGGTCCAGGTGGAGCAGACGGAGCAGGCGGGACAACGGAGGAGGAGGACTCAGCAGGTACGTCCACATCATCATCATCATCTTCTTCATCATCTAAACCTGTGACCTCATGGATGTTCTGCTGCAGGTGATTCATAACTGGACCATCCCTCTGCACGGGGAACGGAGCGACCAGATCCTGGTGACCAAAACCTTTGAGATGCTCAGCAGGTACTTTTATTTGTGTTTATTTAAACACAGAGGTCACTTCAAGACACTTGAACTTTACAGAAGGGAAGATTCATATTTCATTTCAGCTTTCTGTTGTATGTCTCCTTGTAGCTTCTTTGTGTCTCTTTGTAGTTGTTTGTCTCTTTGTAGCTTCATTGTGTCTATTTTTAGTAATTTGTCTGTTTGTAGCTTCTTTGTGTCTCTTTGTAGTCGTATGTCTCTTTGTAGCTTCTTTGTGTCTCTTTGTAGTCATTTGTCTCTTTGTAGCTACTTTGTGTCTCTTTGTAGTGGTTTGTCTCTTTGTAGCTACTTTGTGTCTCTTTGTAGCTTCTTTGTGTCTCTTTGTAGTGGTTTGTCTCTTTGTAGCTACTTTGTGTCTCTTTGTAGTGGTTTGTCTCTTTGTAGCTACTTTGTGTCTCTTTGTAGCTTCTTTGTGTCTCTTTATAGTGGTTTGTTTCTTTGTAGCTACTTTGTGTCTCTTTGTAGTGGTTTGTCTCTTTGTAGCTACTTTGTGTCTCTTTGTAGTGGTTTGTCTCTTTGTAGCTTCATTGTGTCTATTTTTAGTAATTTGTCTGTTTGTAGCTTCTTTGTGTCTCTTTGTAGTCGTATGTCTCTTTGTAGCTTCTTTGTGTCTCTTTGTAGTCATTTGTCTCTTTGTAGCTACTTTGTGTCTCTTTGTAGTGGTTTGTCTCTTTGTAGCTACTTTGTGTCTCTTTGTAGCTTCTTTGTGTCTCTTTGTAGTGGTTTGTCTCTTTGTAGCTACTTTGTGTCTCTTTGTAGTGGTTTGTCTCTTTGTAGCTACTTTGTGTCTCTTTGTAGCTTCTTTGTGTCTCTTTATAGTGGTTTGTTTCTTTGTAGCTACTTTGTGTCTCTTTGTAGTGGTTTGTCTCTTTGTAGCTACTTTGTGTCTCTTTGTAGTGGTTTGTCTCTTTGTAGCTACTTTGTGTCTCTTTGTAGTGGTTTGTCTCTTTGTAGTTGTTTGGTTTACTTTGCAATTGTTTTCTTGCAGTTATTTATTTTGGTTTAGTCTCTTTGTAGCTATTTATGTGTTTTTCTTGTTTTCCTTTTTTTAAGTGAAAAAAACATACACATTTATAAAAAATAGCTTGTAAACTTCCTCATAATTCATATACAATATTTCTTTCGTGGTTCATTGGACCGCTGTAGTTTGTAGTTCCTTTGTCTATTTGTAGTTCCTTTGTGTCTGATTGATTCATTACACACACCCAGACATTATTATGTCTGCATCCAGAAAGAGACTTTAAATGATTTCATGCTGGCAATGTTAATTTAATAATGTGATTTGATTTATTGTTGCTGAGTAAGTGGCGGCGTCACATAAATACAAACATATATCCAGTCCCATTAAACCACGCGGGTCATTGCGTCTGCCCCCGTCTCCCCCCGTCTCCCTCCCAGTGACCCCATCGTCATCACGTTCCAGGCCTTCCTGCCGGACAACGAGGTGGTGCCGCTGTCCATGACCCACCAGTCGCTCTACGTCACCGTGGAGACGCAGGTGGCCATCGCGGGCGTCATCCTGACCGGAGTCTACGTGCTCATCATCTTCGAGGTGAACGCACAGCCGCTGCCTTTACGGGAGGAAGTTTGACTCATTCTACTTATAGATGTCAAATAAACACATTTAGTTAAACTCTCCTTCTTTTAAGTAAAAACCAATATAAGAGAATTCAATCATCATCATTCAGGCTCCATCATGAGGCTCAAAGGTGAACTGCAGACACAAACGTTTTAGAATATGGAAGTTGCTCCACCCGGAGCAGGTTCTAATAACCACCGTGCATCAAACATGAGATGGCGTCTGTGAGATCACCTTTGACCTCTGCATTTCATACAAAAATGAAGAAAGACACAGTTAACTTCCCATTAAAAACAATACATCACAAATAAACGACAATGCAACAAAATATATATTTTCATTTATCTGAATATCGCGGCCGCGTTGAAGATGAACCTTTTGAATCTTCCAGATTGTGCATCGCACTCTGGCCGCCATGTTGGGCTCTCTGGCCGCGTTGGCCGCTCTGGCCATCATCGGGGACGTGAGTCTCTCCAGTCAGCTTGGACATCAACCAGTAATCTCTGGAAACAACGAAGGAATGAAAGAACGTGACATTAATGTATGAACTCGCTTCTTAACGCCCCTCAGAGGCCCAGTCTGGTCACCGTGGTCGAGTGGATCGACTACGAGACGCTGGCTCTTCTCTTTGGCATGGTGAGCCTCAAACAATATACATATCATACATATATGTATATATTATGTGTATTCACGTGTCCTTTGGACAGTTTTACAAAAAGCTTTGTTTGAATTTTACTCATTTTACTTCACTGTCTCTGGCGTCGTCCCGACTGCTCATCTTTTAATAACGGATCACATCCTCTTATTATTATTATTATTATTCGCTCACAAGATCCTTCTGCCACACCAGTGATATAAATGATTAAATGCCACAGACGGTTGGACAACTTCCACAGCCGACAGCTGCTACTGAAATGTTCCTCTCAGTCTGAACGCGGCAGACGGACATTCTGGAAATATTCCACACAAATAAAGATTTTATTGAAATGTGCCGCAAGCAACGAGCCACAACTGTTTGATCTGAAGTCACGTCGCTGTATCATGTAATCAGAGCCTTCTTCTTTGATAATAAAGTATCTGTGAAAAGAATCCACTAAAATCCTGATGAACATGAAACACCCTGTTCCGTAAAGTGAGACGCTTTGTGTCTCTGTCCCAGATGGTGCTGGTGGCCATCTTCTCGGAGACGGGCTTCTTTGATTACTGCGCCGTGAAGGTGAGCCCTCGCACACGGGACCACCGCCCCAGACGCGTCAATCAGAGAGAGTCGTGATGTTGTTGGACGCGGTGTCTCACAGCTCACAAGTCTCGCGTCTCCCTCACGTGTCCACCGCGTCCCCGCTTACCTTCGGGGTGCTGATGCTTTGAGTCTCTTTGATTTGTGAGGACGTCCGGAGGAGGCGACACGTCGGCGGCTTCACTCATCAGCGCCGCTCTGTCACCATGACAACGAGCCCAAACATCAAACCGGCACATAGAGACAAGAAAGCTGTAGAAAGCTACACGAGACACCATGAAAAAAGGACATAAAATGACTGCATGAGACACAATTACCGTCTGGAGAGAATAAACAGCTGTGAAGAGTTTTCTCAGTGAGTGTCGTTAACGTCCGTCCACTGTCGTCCCTCCGAAGGCCTACCAGCTGTCCAGAGGGAAAGTGTGGCCGATGATCTTCATCCTCTGCCTCATCGCCGCCATCCTCTCCGCCTTCCTGGACAACGTGACCACCATGATGCTCTTCACCCCGGTGACCATCAGGTAGCCCGACACACGCAAGCTACAAAGAGACACCAAGCAACACAACTACACGCAAACCTTTAGCCTTTTATTGTGTTTCTAAATCGGTCAGTTGACAGATCACAGATTCAGAAGCTGTTTCCTGTAGTATCAGCTGGATGTGAGCCGCCCCCCCTCTGTCCTCCCTGCGCCCCCGTCTGTCCTCCCTGCGCCCCCGTCTGTCCTCCCAGCGTCCTCCCTGCGTCCCCCCTGCGTCCTCCCTCTGTCCTCCCTGCGTCCCCCTCTGTCCTCCCTGCACCCCCCCGTCTATCCTCCCTGCGCTCCACCCTGCACCCCCCCGTCTGTCCTCCCAGCGTCCTCCCTGCGTCCCCCTGCGTCCTCCCTCTGTCCTCCCAGCGTCTTCCCTGCGCCCCCCCTCTGTCCACCCAGCGTCCCCCTCTGTCCTCCCAGCGTCCTCCCTGCGCCCCCCCCCTCTGTCCTCCCAGCGTCCTCCCTGCGTCCCCCTCTGTCCTCCCAGCGTCCTCCCTCCGTCCTCCCTGCGTCCCCCTCTGTCCTCCCAGCGTCCTCCCTGCGTCCCCCTGCCTCCTCCCTCTGTCCTCCCAGCGTCCTCCCTCTGTCCTCCCTGCGGCCCCCCCTCTGTCCTCCCAGCGTCCCCCTCTGTCCTCCCAGCGTCCTCCCTGCGTCCCCCTCTGTCCTCCCTCTGTCCTCCCTGCGTCCCCCCTGCCTCCCCCCTCTGTCCTCCTAGCGTCCTCCCTGCGTTCCCCCTCTGTCCTCCTAGCGTCCTCCCTCTGTCCTCCCAGCGTCCTTCCTGCGTCCCCCCTCTGTCCTCCCAGCGTCCCCCCGTCCTCCCTCATTATTCGTGTCCCTCTCTCTCACTATTACGTTTCAGAAGGTGATGATGTTTAACGGGTGAAACTGGGCTCCAATTAGAAGCAGAGCAGCAGGGCGTAAATCCCGCTCGTCCAAAGGGTCAAAGGGTCAAAGGGTCTCTCCTGTCCTCTGACGTCCGTCTCGTCAGGATCCCGTCGGGCCTGAAGGGCTTTTCTGTCTGATGTTTCTGCAGGTTGTGCGAGGTGCTTAATCTGGACCCCAGACACGTCCTGATCGCAGAAGTCATCTTCACCAACATCGGCGGCGCCGCCACGGCGGTCGGAGATCCGCCCAACGTGATCATAGTGTCCAACCAGGACCTCCGCAAAGAAGTAGGAACCTCCGCAGACGCCCTCAGCGCCTTGACATGCAGACGTGGTCCAGCACACGCGAAGCTTTAGGACATTACAATGATGAGAGGAGCAAAAGATTCTTGTAACATTGGATACATCAAATGTCACAATGTCAACAACACGCTCTGTTCATGACGTACAGTCGCCTTTGAGGTGCAGACACACAAGAGTGTACAAACGGAAGTATTTCAGTTGTATGCGCTCCATCTCCTCCACCGTGACCTTTGACCCTCTGACATGCCGGTGTGCCGGCAGTGAATGAAGATTCAGTGGCGGGGAAACCCAATTTATATGTCCCGCCGCCGCTCATAAATCAGATTAATTGAACCTGTCAAAACAGTAGAGGAAGAAACCGGAATGCAATCTGATTCCAAGGAAGCTGCTGGCTGTTAAAGCGCACGAGGCTCAACGCGTATGATAATAATAATAACTCTGTCATGCTGTTAATCTCACACCTGGAGCTGCTGTTTGCCTCATGCAACGTGGCCCAACGCGTCCTGCCGGGCAAACACCGTTCAGCCTGCTGGAGGGAAAACTCTGTTCTATTGATCCTTGATGATGATGATTGATCAGCAATCAACAAATGTTCCAGTTCCTTCTTAAAGCCCCCCGGAAGGTCCATTTAGAATAGAACCCTTTTGTTTGCGTCCCTCTCAGAGGGGACAGACGTCGGTTTGTCTCGGCTCGGTGTCCCTGGTGGTGGGACGAACCCGGGGGGACGGAAGAGGACGGGGGGGGGTGGGGGAGACGCAGACGGCCTCGTGCTTGGTCGTTTGCAGGCGTGTTTGGTTGTTTGCAGGCATGTTTGGTCGTTTGCATGCGTGTTTGGTTGTTTGCATGCGTGTTTGGTTGTTTGCATGCGTGTTTGGTTGTTTGCATGCGTGTTTGGTCGTTTGCGTGCGTGTTTGGTTGTTTGCATGCGTGATTGGTCGTTTGCAGGCGTGTTTGGTTGTTTGCATGCGTGTTTGGTCGTTTGCAGGCGTGTTTGGTTGCAGGCGTGTTTGGTTGTTTGCATGCGTGTTTGGTTGTTTGCATGCGTGTTTGGTCGTTTGCGTGCGTGTTTGGTTGTTTGCATGCGTGATTGGTCGTTTGCAGGCGTGTTTGGTTGTTTGCATGCGTGTTTGGTTGTTTGCATGCGTGTTTGGTCGTTTGCAGGCGTGTTTGGTTGCAGGCGTGTTTGGTTGTTTGCATGCGTGTTTGGTTGTGTTTGGGGGTCCAGAGATTGCAGTTTGCAGGCGTGTTAGGTTGCAGGCGTGTTTGGTCGTTTGCAGGCGTGTTTGGTTGTTTGCATGCGTGTTTGGTCGTTTGCAGGCGTGTTTGGTTGCAGGCGTGTTTGGTTGTTTGCATGCGTGTTTGGTTGTGTTTGGGGGTCCAGAGATTGCAGTTTGCAGGCGTGTTAGGTTGCAGGCGTGTTTGGTCGTTTGCAGGCGTGTTTGGTTGTTTGCATGCGTGTTTGGTCGTTTGCAGGCGTGTTTGGTTGTTTGCATGCGTGTTTGGTCGTTTGCAGGCGTGTTTGGTTGTTTGCATGCGTGTTTGGATGTTTGCATGCGTGTTTGGTTGTTTGCAGGCGTGTTTGGTTGTGTTGGGGGGTCCAGAGATAGAATGAATGGCATCAGCCCCCCTCGCATCCCCCCATCAGTGAGTGTGTGGGACAGAGAAGCCTCCTTTATGTTATCGGTGGCTCTGGTTTGCCACTAATGGGACGGGCTGTTGGTTCCGCGTCTTGTCTCATTCTCAGGACGACCTCGGCCACCTTTCAACATCAGGAAGTGAGATGGTGGAAACATCTAGAGGATTCGGCCTTTTCACATTTTTCGTGTCATTATCACAGACTGAAACACAATGTTCTGAATGCACCTGAACGCCTCCATTCTTCGCCAAAAGCACCAAGCTGTAATCACTTGAGCAGAGACAATGAGCAGGTTGAGCCTGATGCTCTTTGTCTTTTGAGATAATTCTCTGTCTCCGTTGGTTCCCTCACAGGGGATCGACTTCGCCAGCTTCACAGGCTACATGTTCCTCGGGATTTTCCTCGTCCTCCTCACCTCCTTCCCGTTCCTGCGGCTGCTCTACTGGAACAAAAAGCTCTACAACAAAGAGTCCATTGAAATAGTCGGTGAGTTCAGACCAAAGGGCACTCATGGTGTGTGTGTGTGTGTGTGTGTGTGTGTGTGGCAGCGCAACTGCGTTATTGTTCTCATGAGCTGATTCATGTCAGAGAAGATTCCTCCCTTTTAGTATTTTGCTCTTTATTAGTGAGGATAGAGAGCAAAATACACCCATTGATCCCTTTCTTTGTCCTTACTGCTTATTAAAGCACTACAGTGTGTATGTGTATCACTCATTTATTAATATATGGATGCTTGATTGTGTATTTATTTTTTTAGTATCCATCAAAAGAAGGACACTCTGCACGCAGAACCCAATAAAAACAGCTCTTATTTGTGTGAAATTCTCTCTTTGCCGGCGAGCAGCTTGTCAGCCGAGTCAGCATGCGATCATTAAAACACAGACCACCAAAGCCCCCCCGGGCGTCACATCCGAGGAGAGGGGGGGGGGAGGGAAGGGCCGGCTGTCACACCGACCCGACCCGTCTCCACCGGGACGAAGCCTCCAGCCGGTTCTGTAGATGTTGATGCTCTCATTGCACCGCCGCGCCGGTTAGATCCCATTAAGCAACGCCCTGAAAACCCCCCCGCTGGCATCTCCAGCCCCTCCGGCCGCAGCTCTCCTCCCGCAGCCGGTTGAGGAGGCCAGATTAACCGACGCTGTCCTCCCCCCCCCTCTACCCCCCTCCGCAGAACTCAAGCACGAGATTCTGGTCTGGAGGCAGACGGCTCAGCGCATCAACCCGGCCAGCCGGGAGGAGACGGCGGTGAAGTGCCTCCTGATGCAGAAGGTCCTCAACCTGGAGAGTCTGCTCCGCAAGATGATGAAGACCTTCCACAGGTGTGTTTGCGTGTGAGACAACAAATACACACACATTAAATATGTTTGGTTGTGTGGGAAACAGGCTGAAGTATTACCTGAATAAGGTTTATTATTCCAGGTTCATGAATGACACGTGTGACACACGCTCGTTTATGGACATACCAGTTCCTTTGACATGATTTCATTGCTTAAAACACATTCATTTATTTTTGTTTTGAGACAACGGAGGAGCTTCTACTTCTCTGTCTGTAATAGAAGGTTTCCTGCTTCTAACACGAACCAAATGTGGCCCCATTCAACAGTCAAATTTCTCAAGAGGACAAGAACTGGGAGCAGAACATCCAGGAGCTGCAGAAGAAGGTGAGCCGGCGAACTGCATCGACGTCCCCTCAACGACAGCGCCGGGGTCAGCGTGCACGGCGATAACACCAGCGTTGTCCCCGTGTTGTCCTCTGTCCCCTGTCCCCCCCCAGCACAGGATAACCGACACGGTGCTGCTGGTGAAGTGCGTGTCCGTCCTCGCCGTGGTCATCTTCATGTTCTTTCTCAACTCCTTCGTCCCCAGCATTCATCTGGAGCTCGGTGAGCACTGCTGTCTCATTACTGTCCCCCCACCCACCTCGTCCCCCACCTCGTCCCCCCCCTCGTCCCCCGCTCATGCAATTATGAAACGCAGCTTCTTCTGTCCCCCAAACAAAAGCACGGGAGCGATTCGATGGACGCCGAGCTGCATCCACAGCTTCACTTTGTGACCAAACCGGCGGTTTCATCCATAACTGTGTTTCCTTATTCAACACAAACGAGCCGTCCTCTCCGTCCCGTGCGAACCGCGGCAATATTTACACGTTCGATGTGCGACTCGCTTTGTGTGCTTCTCGTTCCAGGCCGACAAAAGCTCGTCGTTACGAATGAGGACACCGTTTTAAATAATGAATGGATTATTCTGGAAGGTTGCAGCCCTGAACATCAGAACATTTATTATTTTCTGTGTGCGTCAGGTTGCCGGTGTGTGAGTCGATTACCTTAACACCATCTCATTAAATGAAGATGCCACTTCCACGTCCGATTATCAGCTGCTCGCGGGGTCGTGGGTCATGTGACCTACAACTGCAGTGTGGGTAAAACTTTGTTGACACGTGTACAGAAACTTTAAATGCAAAAGAAAAATGCTCGCAACAGTGTTTAGAATGTCCACCGTCGGGAACGTAGCAGCTAATCATTAAATAAATACTTAGTTTGCATAAAGAGCAGCTAGATTGTTTAATATTGAGGTTTTCTTGCGTAACGTTTTCTGGCCGCAGCACAAATGTCTTTCTTCTTTGTTGCTGTGCTCCTCACAGACGAGTCAATCACAAGCTGCTTAAGAGTAAAAGCTCTTTTTGATTGGGGAGCTTTCGGGTTTGTTGTTTCTTGCTTCCCCTCAAAGCAGATCAGAGAAATATCCAACGTAGGGCGAAAACCAGAAATGTCATATTTCTCTCTATTATTTTCCTCCTCTGTTGCTTGAAGGAATCATAGATCTTTGGAGCGGTAAGATGCTTATTTAAAGGACACACAGTCAGGAGATAAATGAATATTGAGTCATTATGATGGTAAAGGAAATAATGGAACACCAGTGAGCTCCTGAGTGTGACTCCTGCTCTGGATTGGTCACTAAAGGGGGTTTTATACTGAGGGCCCCTAAACTGTGGACCTGTCTACATCTCTTCTAAACACTCACTTTTACCAGCTGGCTTATTTACATATTTGCCGGATTTTATCTGCCTGATTGTGTTTTGTTTAACTCGCGTGTGCGTATTGTTGTTTGGAAGCTGCCGTATCAATAAAAGACAAACCGAATGAAAAGACGTCACACCACTAAAAGCCCCGAAAGAAGGGAAAGGAAATTGTGTGTGTTTCGTCCTGAGGTCACGCGTGGTCTTTTTGGGCTTCTTCTCAGGCTGGATCGCTATCCTGGGTTCACTGTGGCTGCTGGTTCTGGCGGACATCCAGGACTTCGAGATCATCTTGCATCGGGTGGAGTGGGCCACGTTGCTCTTCTTCGCCGGCCTCTTCGTCTTGATGGAGGTATTTAACTGTTTCAGCCACCAAAGTCGTTCAAAGGTTCTCTTCAGAGTAGATGTTTCAATTTAAATTGATGAATATGATGCGTTCAGGCTCATTTCATGACATGAGTAAATGATCATGTCATGAAATGTAATCTAGTAAAATGTGGAAATGAGCAACAATTAGACGAGATATTACAGGAGAACAAGATGCTTTTACTGACACGAATATGTCGCGGTTTGTTGCACGTTAAACCATGAGCGTGTCAGAGAGCAGGGACGAAGCCCCCCGTGTCCCCCTGCTCTCTGCACGACACCCACAGCAACAACACGTCCGTCTAAACAAAAAAAACAATTGCTTTTTGTTTCCCATTCTAATGTCGCCTTGGTCTTGCAGGCTTTAGCTCAGCTGCAGCTCATCGACTACGTCGGGGAACAGACGGCGCTGCTCATCAAAGTGAGTTTTCTCCCCTTGGATTCTCAAAAAAGAAACAATCGTCCCTCGTGGGCGCCGCACGACTGGCAGCATTGATAATTGTGCACAGGTGATGTGTTATTGCGTTTCATGCATATTGATCCTTGTCGTTCGGCGCGGTTGGATTTATTGGTCTGCATCTGGGTCCCGTTGGCGGTCGGGGGGGGTCGGGGGTAATCTTTGCAGGCCGTGTGTTTCATGCGGCCGAGGATTGCTGCAGTAATGGAGACGTCAGCTCGTGTTTCGGGCCGCGGGCCTCGGGGAGGCCAATAATCACACGTGACAGCTGTGAGCGCGACTTTCTCACCTGCTCGGCCTCCACCAACGACAAACTGCATGCTGGGTAGAAGTGCACAGCACCACCCCTGACGCAAAGGGGGGGGGGGGGGGGGGTGGTCGCGTTTTCACCATTTTCGGTGCAACCCCTCGACTCCTCCGGCTCCTTCTCCGAGGGGGGGGGAGCCGGGGGGGGGAGGGGGCGAGAGACGAGCAATGAGCCGTGTGCTGTGATGTCCCCTCGCAGGCGGTGCCAGAGGACCAGCGCTTGGCCGTTGCCATCATCTTGGTCATGTGGGTCTCGGCTCTGGCTTCTTCTCTCATCGACAACATTCCCTTCACTGCCACCATGGTGAGGAGCCGCGTCAATGACACTAACCAACCGTCGACCGCTTCCCTGCTGCCCGCCTCATTCTGTCCTTCTGTTCGGGGACAGCAGAAGAAACGACTCTCAGCCGCCGATGAATTTCACACCGTAGCTGTGACGCGATATTCTTCAGTTCGTTCTGTTACAACTTATTTACTCTTTTCTGCTCCGCCGCTTTTTGTTGTCGTTGCTGAGAGTCAACAGAGATGAACGCTTGTCTCAGGCGCTCTGTTGAAATGACAGTCAGACCAGCAGAAGACGTGATGCAGGCTGACAGGATGAGTCGGCCGGAGCGTCCAAGACGTCCTTTTCTCTGAGACATTTTCAGGGTGATGCTAAATTTATTCCCCCGATAAAAGAAGACTTCAAACTTGTCAAGAAAATACTTGTTTTTCCACATTCAGAACAATCAATTAAATAATTCTTTTAAATGTAATTGTTAAAAAAGGAATCGTATGACAGTTTGGGGAATATGTCACTTCCAAAACGCTGAACTTGAGACTCAAACAAGCGGGGTGACGTCGCAACGACTACGTCCACTTCTTACGTAGAATCTACGATCATTACTTAGTTACCTAGAAAAACAACCAGTCAAAGTAAAGCATCTTCTTCGTCCGTCCAACCGTCTTCTTATGTTTGTAATGGAGATTACTCACTTTGTTAAACTAAAAAACGTCTCTCTGTGGATGTTTTTAATAATTCCCAGTTGTCTCTGTACTTTCAGATTCCCGTTCTCATCAACCTGAGTCAGGACGCAGACGTGAACCTACCGGTGAAACCTCTCATCTACGCCTTGGCCATGGGGGCCTGCCTCGGGGGTGACATGTTTCTGTGTTCTTTGTTTAGAGAGACATGAGGGGGAAGTGAATGAGAGACAACAGCGCGCAGCCGGGAATATGTGGACATGTGACCAAACCCACCGCGTCAACATCTCAGCCTGAAGTAGTGAAATACAGACGGTTGCTTTCTGAAGAAATAACGACAATTAGAAATCGCACACTAAGTGCATGTGACGTACTTTCTGATATCTGAGGGAAGGCGTGGACGTGAGGGGAGAACGACGGGACCCGCAGGGGATGAGAGGGTGAGAGAGGGTGAGGGAGTGAGAGTGTGAGAGAGTGAGGGAGTGAGAGAGGGTGAGGGAGAGAGGGTGTGAGAGAGTGAGGGTGTGAGAGAGTGAGGGAGTGTGCGATGGTGAGAGAGTGAGATAGTGAGAGGGTGAGATGGTGAGAGATAGTGATAGAGTGAGAGGCTGAGAATGTGAGAGAGTGAGCTGGTAAGAGGGTGAGGGGTGCGATGGTGAGAGAGTGAGATAGTGATAGAGTGAGAGGGTCAGATGGTGAGAGAGTAAGAGAGTGAGATGGTGAGAGGGTGATAGAGTGAGATGGTGATAGAGGGTGAGATGGTGAGATAGTGAGAGGGTGAGAGAGTGGGAGGGTGAGAGTGTGAGATGGTGAGAGAGTGAGGGAGTGAGAGTGTGAGAGAGTAAGGGAGTGAGAGATTTAGAGGGTGAGAGTGCTGTCATTGTGTAGAGATAGTGAGAGGGTGAGAGAGTGGGAGGGTGAGAGTGTAAGATTGTGATAGAGTGATGGGGTGAGATGGTGAGTGAGTGAGACGGTGAGGGTTGCGATGGTGAGAGAGTGAGATAGTGATAGAGTGAGATGGTGAGAGAGTGAGATAGTGAGAGGGAGAGATAGTGAGAGGGTGAGAGGGTCAGATGGTGAGAGGGTGAGAGAGTGGGAGGGTGAGAGTGTGAGATGGTGAGAGAGTGAGGGAGTGAGAGTGTGAGAGAGTGAGGGAGTGAGAGATTTAGAGGGTGAGAGTGCTGTCATTGTGTTTCAGTTTTAATCAACTGCTCCGTGTCGTGTCGGCATCGATCGGCAGTGCGACGCTCGCCTCCTCTGACGCTGACACCTTGTCGAGACGTGAGCCGTATCGAACGGGGGGATTGAGACGCAGCCCAACTGTCAAAACGCAGCCTTGAGGGAATCGGAGTAAAGCTTCCTGCAGGATTCAGGCCTCTGACAGAATGCTGACTGATGCTGATTGTCTCCGTCCTCGTAGCTCTGCGTGAATGTTGGAGTCCTTTATTCAAGGATCATTTCCTGTCACCATCCAACCTGTTTGTACCAGAACGAACACTTGACAAACTGCTGTAGAGACTTTATCTAAGTTGCGTCATAACGAATGTAAACAGTAGCAAAAAAGACATCATGTACATTCTCACATTTTATGGTGCATCATCTTTGACAGTGTTTGAGCAGCAAACCTCGTGATGTAAAAAGACACAGTTCACATGTCTTCCTGTGGACAGCGGGACAGAAACCTCGACCTGAAGGGAGAATTAGAGAAGAAGTGAACATTAAACAGGAGCCTCATGAATCCAGTGGTGCATCTTCACTAAAACCCGAATGTCTAAAAACACTCTTCTTTGCTCGCCTGCAACCAGCGTGAAACCCCTCAATCGTTATTTCCTGAACAACACGCTCATGTTCCTTTTGGATTAAACTTGCTTTCCCGTCTGTTTAGGAAACGGCACGTTGATCGGCGCTTCGGCCAACGTCGTGTGCGCGGGCATCGCCGAGCAGCACGGCTACGGCTTCTCCTTCATCGAGTTCTTCAGGTGAGCTTTCCTCGTCCCCCGAGTGGAGACACGCGTCACCGCCGCGCCGTTAAACATTTGGCCAGACTCTGGCACCAGTGCGAGCCCCGTTCTGAGGCCCAGAGGGCTGCTCGCATCTTAATGACCATCATATGCTCCGATACGAGAGCCAACGGCGCCCTGAGAACATTCGGAGATCTCACACGTGGAGACGAGGAGAAGAGCGAGGCATCTCCATGTGGGCTTCGGTTCTACAGCAGATGGCGTTTGAACGTCGACTGCTGGCGTTGACACGAAGCTCTGGGCTTTGTGTCACAGCGGGACGCTTGTTCTTTGAGGCGGCGTTGAAAACCAAAGGGCCACGTCGAGGTTACCAAGGAACGTTTCCACTGGAGCGAGTGACAGGAATTGATCGCGGCTGGCGAGCTAATGGAGAGTCCTCTCACGGATGAGCGGCCCTTTTGTCTGCCATCCTCTGGACATTTAGTGTGTTTGTTTCTTTGCTATTTTCATCCACCAGCGGTGGGATTTTAGGGATTTCAACGTCGGTCGTGGCTACATTTAAGTCTTTTGTTTGTCATCGTGTTTTATGGCGTCGCGGAAAGAAAATCCTCAAAGAAAATCCTCTAACTGAATTAAATGATGAACTAGATTAGTTTTTCAGAGGCTAAACGGTAACAAAAATAAAAACATAACAATAACGTTTTAATAATAATTAATTGGAGCTGTTGTGGTTGATTGCTCAGGGTTTTCCACCTCGTCAGGAAGTGGACAGGAAGTAATATTACAACAGCATTAGTGTTGTAAAGAAAAACAAATGCACAATTACAGAGGGATTCCGTTATGCTCGTAATGAGCGTAAAAGATCCTCACAGTTGGTTCTAATTCTGTTTCAGTTTGTTTTTTGCACAAAAAAAGACTCTTGTGATTTCCCCGTCTGCACGAGATCTCACAGGAATAAATTAGCGCCCTTGCAGCCTGTCGGCTCCGCTCCTCTCACACACAGCCGTGTTTACGGTTATCTACCGTTATCTTCAGTTCAGCCTGTAATTGCCTTTCTGTGGCAAAAGGTCTCAGCTGGTCAGAGAGACGGGTAGGATAGTGGGGGGGGGGGGGGCGTCTGTCTGCGGACTGGGACTGACTGGTGCCGTATCAGATGGTGCGATTCGTGGCCCAGATGAGGCGGCAGAGACGTGGACGCCTTTAAAAGTGAGGGACCCCGGAGCGCTGGGCTCAGTTGGTCCCTGTTGCTTCCTTCACGCCTCCTGGTCCTCGTCCTCCTCCATTCCTCCAATTATCAACATGGGGGACATGAGCAACTTACTCAACAGCTGTCAAAATAGGATGAAGAGATTTTAAGTTTCCATTAAAGAGGCATAACAGCAATTACAAAGTACTGCCCACCTCCAACGTTTAAACGTTGTTTTCCGATTTCCTCTTTGAACTGTGACTAAGTTGTTCTCATGCGGGTGAATTACGGGGCCATACTGAAGACAGCTTGACACTGTCGTCAAGATGCCTTCAAGGTCTCTTAAAGCAACCGTGAACAATATTATATTACAGGTCATTTAGCTGACACTTTTATCCAAAGCGACTTACATTGTATTTTTGACACATGGCTTTTTACATTTTTCCCCGGGGAGCAATTAGGGGTTAGGTGTCTTGCTAAGGGACACTTCCACATGGGACATGGAGAAGCCGGGGCTCGAACTGCCAACCTTGCGGTTCCCTGCAGTTAGGTCAGGCCCTCTCTACTCCATGCGCCACCTTCGACCCTAATATCACCAAAACGCGTCTAAACTGAACATGAGAGCACGTGTTGGTCTCATCCAGCTCATCCTTCAAATACACTTCAGTAACTTGACTTCATTTAATGAGCTAACATTGACACAGTGTTGCTGGATACTTTTAGGACAAATAATGAAATATGAGCAGTAACCTTTCGTAAGATAAAATACGAGGCACCGCATCAGGGTACGTTTCATACATATCTTATTTTGGCGGGGCTCCCGGTCCGCCGTCCACCAGACAGGGAACAAACGGAAACCATTTTCGCCGACGCGAGTGGATTTAGAGAGAGGGGGCTATTATTTTCCACATGTGACACGATTAATATTCCCATTTTCCATCAATTGAAAGAAATCCAGCATAAACTGCATGTTAGCCACAGTCACTCTGCCCGTTGAACGCGTCTGTCAGCCGGCACCGACTGACGACAGGGGCCCTCTGGTTTATCTAAACAAAGCCCGTGTGATTGCAATCGGTTCGTCCGGGGAGAGTACCCATCACGGGCAATTTAAATCAAAGTGGTAGATTATAAAGTATTTTTTGACAAGGTGAACCTCGTGCCCTACCGCGGCAGATTTCTCATCTGCCCTCGGTCCCGTCGTGATGTGCCTCTGATGGGGGAAAGAAAAGTGTCTCTCAGCGGAAAGAGACTCACTTGAGTGGAGGTGAACTCGGCCTGTCTGATTGTGAGAGGTTACGGATTCCACGACCCCGTCCGTCTTCTAGTCGGCGTTCATTCATCAAAGAATAAAGGCAGCACTGCTCTAATGTTGATGGAATATTTAAAGAAATACTTCACCCACTGAATCTGCACATCAGTTGTTCTCCCTGTTTTATCGTGGATCCTTGAGGAAACGTTTTTTCAACAAAAAATAAGAGAGAGAAAAAATAATTCAACAACTGTATAAAAATATCTGTTTACAAGCTATCACATATTCAATAAAACTTTAATCTCTTTTTCATTTTCAGAGTTTCATGTGTTAAAGCTGCATTCTCTCACATCACCACCAGGGGGCGACTCATCTGGTCCCATAGAAGTCCATGAGAAGATAACTCTCTTGATTTATTCCCTCAGTAAACATTGTAAACACGAGTTTATGGTCTCAATCTCTAGTTTCATGTCCATAATGTTCATTTACTAGATTGCGGTTCATTTAAAGACAACGACAACATCCGCTCCTTATATTCACTCTGTTATTCAAACGCTTATCACCGTGTTGTCTAGAAATAATGTAAATGTGGAAAAATGGAGTTAATTGCTAATTTTATCGAAAGGCAAAAGTCTCTTTCCTCTTAAGACGTTTCAGTGGCAAATGGCAAAAAACTTCTCAAAGGCTACAGGAAGTAAAAGGTCAGGATAGTCGGATCATGACAAATCTTTGTTTAGCCGGCTGACACGTCTGCCTCTCCCTATTATTAGAGCTTTTTTTCTGAGGTTTCCCTCATTATTCACATCCTGTTTTAAACCTTTGATGTGTAAATACAAATGATAATCACCTGACCTTTGCAGCTCAGTTCAGTTTGCCAATCAAAAAGGTGTGACTCCGTCACAATTTAAATGCACCGTCACGCCGGGCTGAACTCATTATTAATGAGCCTCATTAGTCCTTCATCAACTTTTAATTTGACATTTACACATGCATATTAAATGTAAACGCCATCATTTTATTTTATGAATAAATACTGAATAGAAGAAATAGTTGAGGCGATAAAGAGTAATACATCAACAGACTCACACACAACAACATTTACTCTTGATTTACTAATTTTCTCCAAGAAGACTCGATACATGGAGGCTTTCAAAAGGTCGTCTTAAAATAGGGATCTGAAATGGCTCAAAGGAACTTATATAATTATATCCAGCTGCTTTCGAAAGATTTTAGTCACTTTTGCCATTGAACATTGACCATTAATATAGCATCCCCATGCGTTGAATCAAAGGATTTATCATCTGCTGATTTGGAATTTCTGTTATTGATGTTTGATTAGACAAGGGCCTAAACTCCCACGAAATCCCCCAAACATTTCACTTTTTTCAGCTGTCAGAAATATCTGCAACAAGGAGCTTGTGCAATACCGCCTTAATTGGCCAATTGGGGGATCCGTAATTAAAGCTCATTTCTGACCACATCACACATGTGAAGCTTGTTACACTCACACTTACATGTTTTGCCCCCCTGCTGTTTTGTTTATTGACCATTTTCTTTACAAAGTGAGAATATAAACTCATTGAAACACATTCTGAAATGATTGTTCACCAATAAGCGCTCCATAAGCCTTACCACAAAGTACTAAAAACATCATGATAAACATCAGTTATCAGTGTGCTGCACTTTATTTACATGAAACGTATTGACCTCCAATCAGCGTCCAAAAAGTCATATTTTCAGTGGTAAAAGAAGTGTTTAGCGCAAAGAATGCCTGTTGTTAAAAATATAATGAAGTCATATTCAAGGCTGGCCAGTGAACGGCTCATTAACCAACTGCTCTTGTCCGTCGTCATGACAACCGGACATGCGGGCACGCAGACCTCCGGCCTTTGGAGCAGCCATGTGTCCACATAGGACGTGGTAGACGTCCAAGTGACGGCCCATCTGCAGGTCCGGAGTCCTCTAGGGCCACGCACTAAATCTATGACGCTGGCTGAGGATCCCCAGAACCCGGGAGAGCAGTCTGGACTGTAGCTTGACTGTTATTTAGCTATTTAGCTCACTAAATTCCAGACGTAATGAGAATTGTCCTTTTCAAAGGCATGGAATCACTATTCAAATATGATCATATTCATAATTCAACGCGTGCATCACTTCTCCAGCTTTATGAACTAACTACTACTATGAGTTGTTTTTTGTTCAAGCTAATAACTCATGTTTACAAAAGACATCTACGAGACCAGAGGAGTCGCCCCCTGGTGGTCATTAGAGAGACGGCAGCTTTAAATCCTGCAGCGTGGACATGACGACGTACATGATCCCCGACGCAAATCTGTCCTTTCCCTTTTTTCTCACAGGTTAGGATTCCCCATGATGATCATGACCTGCATGATCGGCATGTGCTACCTGCTGGCCACCCACATCGGACTCGGCTGGAACATGTGATCCATGCAAAGAGACATTTGGCTCGCTGTGATTCGCCCGATGGAGCGATCAGATGACGGGCGCTTAATGGTGCACGGCGGCCATAATCACAGCAGGGACCAGAGCAACGGGAGCTTTGACCAGAATTCTGAACCCTACGTGCAGAAATTCAAAGTCACAAATTCTCTTTTTGTCCTCACAAAAGTTGATCCAAGGGACGTCCCCCAGGAAAGGTCCCAGTCCGTAACGCTGCTCATGGTGCTACTGGTGCCTCTACTGGTGTAACTGGTGTTATTCCAGGTAGTTCCTCTGGTGTCACAATCATTTCCGTTTACAAATGTTTTCCTGATGAATTGTATGACTCTGACTTGCTTTTAGAGACACTGAGGACACCGATGACTCACAAACATTTCCCTCACTGTGATATTTCAAAGGAACCGTTATCACTCAGTGAAAGGGATTTCATCTTTAAATGTTAGTGTGCTCGAGATTCCCAAATTTTAACGTGAATGAAAAGCGGAGATCAAACTGGAGCGTTGGCGGAGTGATTAAATAAGACGGACGTAGACTGTTATAAAGGTAATATATCAACAATTGTACTATGTACACGATGATGGCATGTAAACTCAATGATTTTAGTCTACCACATTTAATGTAGAAGATGCTGAGACATGGAATGGATTAATATCACCTGTATTTATTGTACATTTATGATTCACGTTTGAGACCAACATGAACAATAAAGGTTGTGATGTTTCTGCTTTTCACTTTCGGCTCAGTTTCACATTTTTCTTTACGAACTCTTTCTACTAAAAAGTCCTTAATGAAAAGCTTCAAAAGAAGCCAAGCAGCGAAACATTTTTTACATCATTAAAAAATTAAAAACCTTGTATACAACTGAATGGGAACTAAAGGAAGGTAATGCCGGTGAACACCATCCAGAACGAGGTCTTGATGATGATAATCATTAATAAAGCATTAATAAAGCTGTTAGTCACAAAGCACCAACTCTTTCCAAACGGGTCTGAAGTGGTTTACACAAGCTTTTTTTTTAAATTATTCCATCCACCCACGCTTTGCCATCCAGCTACGGGAAACCTTAAATGTGGTAAATGGAAAATAGATGGATGCTCAACGCAACAGAACGTGACAAAATAACTCTCGCCGAGGACGGAGAGCGTTCTCCTTTGTGTGAAAAGCTTTCTGGCGCTTCGCCGTGTTTCATCTGAAGTGCTCGACTCCTCCTGTGTTCATCAGCAGCGACTGAGCGGTGATCCAGCTCTCCTGTTCCCCTTTAAACGAGTCCGTCTGCAGGCCAACTGGGTTAGAACTTCCCTCCCAGAGGACCACGCAGGTTCAAGTGCAGAACAGCCCTGTTTGATGGAGTTATTGGGGATATTGTTTGTGTTGTCCACTTTGTTGCCACCACAGAGCCGTGTTCTGGATCACAACGTTAATCAGCAGCTAAGCTAATAGAGGCGCTAGCAATAACGCCGTGCATCCCAAGTGTCTTCAACGTGTAACTGGAGTAATTCATGGTTCAGACCCTCATTATTCTGCACTAAAATGAGCCGTGTATCATTTGTTAAAGAAATGATCCGATGTGGAGGGTGGGAACCTGACCGGGACGTTTCAAATGACACCTACTCAGATGTAATGGTGGAACTTTTAGCCTCTCTCATTTCACAGAAGGTGTTATTTTATTTCAATCAGGGCAATTTTCTGCCTTCACATCACACCAAACTGACTTCAAGCAATGTCCTCCTCGTGTATGATCTACGGATGCTCTATAAATTGTGCATTGTCCATGGAGATACATGGACTTTTTAGACTATGTTTCAGTTTTTTACTCCTTTTGTAAAATAAAGAAGTATTTCCACTTCTTGTAGAAGTCAATGTGTTTTTGGTCAGATGTCTGAAATAAGGTGAAGGATTGTCATTTTGTAGAGGGAGCCATGTTGGACTATTAAAGTCATCCCTGCAGTTCAGAGAGAGAACCATTTTTTGTAGGTAAAGGACACATTTCACATTCTAAACATGCCGTCTCGTTGCATTGGCTTGTTTTGTTGATTATTGCCTTACTTTCGGTACTTTGCCTGAAAAAAGAAATGAGTTGGCTCCTGTCTTGTTTGCTTTGCTCTTTTGCATAACTGCTGACATTCTGTTGGGGCTGGAGGTAATCCAGCAGCTGTAAGCCACTTATCTTTTTGCTTTGCCCGTCCTCAGTGAGAGCTAGGAGCATATTTATTATGGACACTGATCCAGACGCCTCAGTCGGCTAAAAATTAAATCTTTGTTTCCTGGAATCAACAAATATTCAAATCAATAACAATGACCCTGCTTTTAATCTAATCAGATTATCGTCTTCATAGAAGTGTTAATGCGCGGTCTTTTTTGATTTTGATGTCATTTATTAATAGAAAATATTCTTAATAATGGGTGACAACTCAATTTTCCTGCTGATGCAAAGGTCAATCAATAGGATGGGTTTACTTGAGCAGGTTGTGCTTTTGGTAACTCTTGATACTATTGTTCCTGTGACCATGTGAACTAATTAATTAACGCTGGTTCAATGAGAACTCATTCTCCTCTCTGGCTAATGCTCTTATTCACCAAGAAGGGATTAAATGTTTTCTGCCCTCTGTAATTAAGAACCGGAGGGAGAGAGCTTAACAGGATTCACTTTAAAGGCTATTTTTAAAAAGCCGGATCCTCTTGTTACAAGACAAAGTAATGTGATATAAACCGGAATAAAAACGTCTCGCTTTGATCAGCCTAACAGCGGGAACTGACCTCATGCAAGGTCTTTTTTAATTAGCACGAGGGGGAGAATTACACAGGTCATTATCAAATACCAAATAAGTCTTTTATGTGAAATGTTATTGTTGGATTAACATGTGCAGATTATAAGACCTTTTGAGTTGAAACAAAGGTTGAGAAAATGCCAATCAAACCGGATTTTATTATAGAAATAACTTTTAGGACCGATAAAGATGAAGATAATTGGAAATAAAATAAAAGTAAAGCGAGCAGGAAAGTAATGAATAGCCTATACTGAGAATCGGAATATTCAAAAAGGAAGCTGGAACGTTAGATAAGAGAATAGTGACGTTCAGATCGCTGATACACTGTACGATGCACGAGACTAAGTGAACTTTCCAACAACCCAGAGACTTTCTACCTTTCATGAAGATAAGTGCTGCCACCATTTTGGTTAGCGAAAGCATTAGCTAAAACATTAGCGAAAGCGTTAGCTAAAACATTAGCAAAAGCGTTAGCTAAAACATTAGCGAAAGCATTAGCTAAAACATTAGCGAAAGCATTAGCTAAAACATTAGCAAAAGCATTAGCTAAAACATTAGCAAAAGCGTTAGCTAAAACATTAGCGAAAGCGTTAGCGAAAGCGTTAGCTAAAACATTAGCGAAAGCATTAGCTAAAACATTAGCAAAAGCGTTAGCTAAGACGTTAGACAAAGCGTTATCTAAGACATTAGCGAGAGCGTTAGCTAAAACATTAGCAACAGCGTTGAAAAACTGAAAACTGAGACTGGAAAACTTGTAGAACTAGAAACTTAAACCCGGGAGCTTTTAGCATGAACAGCGGGAGCAATAAGCTTGAATCCTGGCAGGGCAGGGTTCGTACGGTCATGGAAAACCTGGAAAAGTAATGGAATTTTAAAAAAGGTCGTTTCCAGGCGTCGTTTGCAAATCCCAAAGGTTTTGGAAAAGTTATGAAAATTAGTTATATGTGGTTTATTTAGGATACGTTTTAAATAATTCAGATGGTTTTGAAAGAGATGCTCAAAATATAAGCAGGACGCTCTCAAACCATTTCCGCAAGTTTGGTGGCCGTAAAAACAGTAGCTTAGGGAAGTGTAGATTTAACCGTGGTTGGCTACATATGGAAAAGTGCATCTCATGAGTTACAACAAACAAAGACCCGGGACGAGCAGAATGTAAGTAATGTGGAGGCAGAACATTAGATATTTCAAACATGGGAGAGCGGCATTAGTGCTAAAGGAAGCAGACTGCTGGCGAAGCTAAAGCCCATCAGAGGGCGACTCCTGGCGAAGCTTCTACGCCGACCAGCGCATCTCTCTCTTCGACCACCGGCTCCGTACACGACACCGACATTTTCCAACGCACGCTGTCCAAGTGTTCCAAGTTGATCCAAGTTGTAAACCGAGGGTGTAGCGGCGTTCCTCCGGTGTTGTTCGTCATTGAGCTGCAGACACGTGACTTTGTTTTGTTACGTGAGTGACAGATGGTTTGATCCTTTTCGTTTTGTCTTAATTTACAATTAATAACTTCTATCACACGACAGACAACGATATGCTCTCGTGTCTTATGCGGGCGGCTCTTCTGTGATCATCTCAGACCCCACCCATGATATCAGCTCCTTCCCTCAGGCAGACGCTTCAGGCAGTTCTCAGTTCTCATCAAAGGACAAAATATGATTTGATTCATGTTTATCTAAATCCCTCAAAGTGAACAATCTGGTTCTGTTTAACAATTATTTATTTATTATACAGTTTTGCGGCTCAACAGTTAAAGAAAGTTAACGTTCACACACGTTGTGACCAACAAACTAAATTAAATGTTGAGAGATTTCAATTTATTGAAAAAAATATAATTGAGCCGTGTGAACATGAACCTCCATGACGTCTTTAACGAAGGCCTTCCTGAACAAACGTTCTGCAGTTTTTAAATCCTCTCATTCGTTCAGGTCGTTGAGGTCGGGGTCCATCACCGATCTGTACCCGGAGGTCTGGGAGTTCAAGTTCAAGGTCGTCTGGTTCTCCTCGCCGACCTGGAGCTTCGACAGCCACCCGAGAACGTTGTCCAAGCGGCGGGAGGGATTTCCCCCCTGAGACGCCGGAGTCGCTGCGGAAACTAACACAAGGCCACGCTCAGGTTACCATGGTGATGACGGGGAGGACATCTCCGTCATCAGCTTGCTAGCTAGCGGCTCAACAGAATATCTGTTTACTGTCGTACAAATTAGGCTGAAAGAGGTTCCATCAGTGAGCTCGGAAGGGGCGGGGCTTGGCCTCATTACTTACAATCGGGGAAGATGAAGTCCATGCTGCTCCGCACATCAACTGAGGATTTTGTTTTCATTTCCATATCCAGCTTTTCAATTTCCAGGCAGATTGTCCTGTCGATTATTTCCTCCTCCTTTCTGACTTTCTTCTTCTGAAGGAAACCTGTGGGTTCAAAAACAAGAAGAAAACAAAAGATCAGAAGAGCAGGATATCGAGGGGGTAGAAATCGAAGGACTCACGAAGCTCGAGCGACTCACTCGCAGAGTTTGATCTGCTCCTCGAGCTTCCCTGCAGGCGGAGGAGCGTCTCCTTGAAGCCCTCCATCAGCTCCAGCTCCCTCCGCCTGAACTCCGCCTCCATCCGCCGCCTCATCACCTCCTTCAGCCGCGTACTCGCAAACTTCTCCTCTATCCTCAGGTGGACCTCGGCCGCCTCGGGGTGGAAGAGCTGCCCGCCGTTTCCCGCCACCATTTCCTCGATCTTCTGGAAGAGCTCTGCGGTCTGACCCGGCTCCGCCCTTTTGGCGTTGTTAACCACGTCCCACGTGAGCCTCCAGGGCGGCCCGCTCGTGGTCTCCGAACTTCTGGTCCAAGGCGACCGCCAGCAGGACGGCGTGGACCCCCTGGGGGCTTAGCGAGAGACCTCGGCCTATTTCTTTGTCCTGCGCTTCGGTGCAGGTGGAGGGATTATTCCACCAGCCCGGGGTGTCGAT